CGTATCCAACCCTGGGGTGCCTTTTCCGGATTCTTCCCCAGCCTCTCACTAACGTGAGCTTTCTGGCGAGATATCCTTTCAAAGACAGATCCCCGCGGATTTTCGTGTCCATCGCCGAAGATCCGGCTTGGATCCTTAGCCTGGCCTTCGTTCACCTTGTTGTTCCGGGCCAATTCCTCCGCCCGGCGTCTGTCAATGGCTCGCCTTTCCCTTTCAACCTCCTCCGGATCGTGGAGCTCCTGTAGGATAGGAGAACTCGCAGTACGCAGGACCTGGCGGGGTTGCCCGGGTGGGATATCCCGGGTTCCGGATGGACCTGGAAGAGCCTTATCCAATCGCTCCATAATGTTTGCCATCATGTTAGCCACATTATTTAGCGCTGTTTCCAACCCATTGACAGGAACAATCATACCCTGCTCAGGGTTGTCACTCCTCACCGTCGACTGGGCCGAAGTAGCAGGGTTATGTCTCGTCCTTCGTCCGGCCATAATCTCACAGCCTTATCTCACAGTATTCTCTCAATGGAAGCACCAATGATGGGATTAACCCGATCAGATGGCGGACCAAGAACGGAATATGAATTAGGAAGATATAATTACTCGATAATATTCTTTGATTAAGTATTGAATGGTCTTGTTGTGACCTGCTTTACAATGGCGGGTTTTCCCCTTTTTATAGTACTTCTAATATTCCAATTAAATTTACACAAAATGGAAATGGATTATGGAGATCATGGGGTTGTGATTCCCCTTCTTTCCGGTCTCGTTCTCTTCCCATTCCGCCCATAACTCGACGATGTGGACCACGTGTCCCATTCCCCTTTTGGACTGGGTCGCTTCAATTTACCTCGAGTTTGGGCCGTCTCCTTCCACTTGCCAAATACGAGATGATGGGCTTGGCCCGTCATCCCACCTGGTCTTATTCCTTTTGGGCCATTATGGGCCTCCATTTGGGCCTGAAGTCGGGTCTACTAGACCCGATATCCATCAATATTAAAGATATACTTCCTCCGTCCTTAAATTGCTTTTTATTTGATTTTTCACGGTCTTCAATATAATACTTTGATCCTTAATATTTTTATTTATATATAAATATGTATTATAAAAATATAATATTTCAAAACTATGTTTTAAATTAAATTTATTGATATTAAATTTATATAAAAATTCAATGTATTTTTTATAATATATGGTCAAAATTTTAAAAGTTTGATAAAAAAAGGTCAAGCTGAGACATTAACTTTAGAACGAGAGAGTATTTCATATGGAGAAAGACCAAAGTATGACTAAAACATTGAATATATATATCAAAATAGGGTTTCAATGTTTTTATTCCCGAAATATGACTTACATTAACAAACATGGTCATGTACATTATCAAAAAAGTATAGTAATGTGCACATGTACAGTGCCACATTACCACAGTACAAAGTCTTATTTCGGGGAAAAAAAACATGAAAATCCTATTTTTGTACTTTTCTCTATGTTTTTCGAGCCTTGCACGTGAAACCTTAATGTTTTTTAAATTGGGTGGCGCTGAGTTTCGAACACGTGACCTCTTAGTCAACGAGGCTCTGATACCATGTCAAGGAACCAACTCAACCAAAAGCTCAAGCTTATGGTTGTGGCCCAGGAACAGTTATTTATATTCTAACAGTAAATAATATTAATAATACTCCGTATCTATTTAATTCTATTTCTATGTATATAAAATATTGGAACTCAAATAAAGTACATGTAAAACTATGAAGCATTCAGTTAGTTGTTAAAAGAAATAAGACAAGTGTAGGTTTTCTTAAACATGGTAGTATTATTTGTCTACAAATACACACGAGTCAGGTGATGACTTACAATATTTTTTTATTGGTTTAATTATAATAAAATAACAAAAATAACATTAAAATTAATAATAATAAAAAAAGAATACTATTTCAAATTATTATAAACGCAACATACTTCTATGAAGAAAAGACTGAATTATAAATATATTTAATAAAATGAATGTATCTTTATTATTATGCATTATTTACTACGTATCACACATTGATAATGGTATTCTAATAAATAATATTTTGAATTTCATACATAGTAAGGATATCAAATGAAATACATTTTATATATTAGTTGTTCTTTCATTTACTCATTTTTATAGTTATTATATCAAACATCTAATATAGAAACACACTACTTTATTTTTAAAAAAATATTATTCTTAATCATTTAAAATTTTTTGTTTTGCGGTTCGGCCCGAAGCCCGTGGGTATCTATGCAGGCCGGGTTCGGGTTTAGAAAATCCTCGTAATGTAGCGTCTTAGCCCGGCCCGAAACTCGGCCCGGCCCACAATTTGATCAAGTCTACCGACAGGCCACCTCGGCACTTAATCAGCCAATCCACCTCACCAAGGAAGTAGCGGTGTGTTAGTGGATGGACGTCGACCGCAAAGAGAGGAGGAAGAAGGGAGCAAGCCAACCACTTGAGAATTATCAATTTAATAATAAATTAGTTTCTTCCACTTTTGACCCAAAATTCTACCTTAATTAAAAAGTCATAATTTAGGAATAAAAACTAATAGATCTTATTTGTGAAATATGACTACACTTTATTCCAAATTTTGAGTAATTTTCACCTAGGCGAATTTGGTCATTTGTGATTCTGTGTCTTGCCACTTGCTATCAAAAGATTGAACATAGTGCTTCATGCCAATCGGGAGAGACAATGAACATCCGCCCCTCCATTCGCGTGATTGCCTTCGTGAGTACGGCCACGGAAGGTTAGCTACTGCAATTTTTTGTTTTGTTTTTTCTTTTCATTTATTTTTTGAGCAGTTACGTGTATTTTATTCATAACTTTTTGCCTGTAAATTATTACTCGATACTGAATACGGAGTATATAATACATCGTTGGAAATATTTTAACAAAATATATCCAACGACACCAATATGACATACGGAGTATATACTTTTGATGCTATGTATCACTTTTTTTTTACTCAAACACTTCAAAATTGAACGAATTACGTTTTCTTATTACGGAGTATATTTTTGGAACAAAATGTGTTTTAAGTTTAAATTATTCTATCTTGTTTTTTTTCTTTTAAATTTAAACTATTTTATGTTTTTTATGCTATAAAAAAGTTAAAGAAAAAACGGTATATTTGGATGAAAAGTACAAGTAAGACAAAATAATGAAGTATTTATTATTATTATTATTATTATTATTTATTTTTTATTGATCGTGGTAAATAAAATGTTATAAAGATTGAATAAATAAAGTAGGACAAAAAACTGAACAAATGCTATGTAAACAAATTAAAAATAAAATACATAAAAAATTCCGAAATGGAAAAACGCAAAAATGATAAATTTTTATTTTCATTTTAATTAAATTTAAATAGAAATAGGTAAACATAAATGAAGGTGACAATGGTGTAGTCATTGCGAAGAAAGTCAATGCAATATGGGTATTAAAAGTGAGTGAAAAGATGAACGGAGTCAACGCTAATGTGGATTAGAATGACTACTGATTTAAAGTGAGTGGTGATGAAGCACTACAAATGACCTAAGACATTAACTACTACTCCATACCAGATCGGTAGCGTGAGCGGTGAGAATGTGAGATACTACCATTTTTTAGTGCTTTTGACTCCATTACAATAAAAAATACGGAGTATATGTTCATACTTTTATTAATCTAATAAAACACAAAAAGTCAAAACCCCCACCTCTGATGATGCTCGAATTTGGATAAATTTTCTATAAAATCCTGTAGAGTTAACTTTCTATCACTCAAATCAGTGAAGAAGTTCGGATACTACCGTTAATTTGTTTCAACTTTCAAGAGGTTTAAGCTATGGGGTGTGTACTTTTCTGCTTTGGTCCGACCAAAGTTACAAAGAGAAGGAAAAATCATAAAAATGAAGCCATCATAAACGAAACTAGTCCTTAAAAAAGATCGCTGAACGAATATGGTTTCAAGCAAAATACACCAATTCCAGCATTTATATGAACATATATTAAAGAATTGTCAAAGAACACAAATAAGGTTAAATAGTGTTGAGCAAAGCAGAGAAAGCAGCAACTATATATCTGGGAACTGAACCAGTTTTACAGAAATCCCAAGGCACCGAAAAGAGAAACAAAAGAGCTTTACAAAAGAGAAGGCAACAAACAAGTGCTTCATTCCTCGGTGTCATTGTTGACCTTGATCTCCAAGAGCCTATCAACGGGCTGCCTGCAAATAGGACAACGGTTTGTTTGAAACCTCAAAACTTTGGCACACCCACTGCACATGCACTGCATCATGAAACAAATAGTATTAACAGTTATCCATACGAAATTGGCAAAACAGTACGTTTTAGCACGGCATGACATTTTGTCTCCAATAATTGTGCATAATTCCCAAATGGTACCATAACAAATTGATTTTGTGTCACTTTGGAACCTCGACTTCTCAATGTATTGTGATAGGAGTATAGTACCCTCAACTTAGGGTGTGTTTGGTTCGAGGAAGGTGAGAGGGAAAATAAACATAATACCCCTCCCATCCAACCAAACACACCTTCAGCATAAATGTTAGAGAGTGCATCCAAGGTGCCTATGTGAATTCCAGCCAATATTAGCTGAGTTTGCAGGAAGAATACACAGTCAAATGCTAGGCAAGGTTGAACAAGAGTAGCCACGTGTGAAGGTGTTTTGCCACCCAATGACTATTGAGTATGACACATCCGATACCACTATATGCCTCTTAATTCCGTCCACTTGACAAAACACCAATCCACGTGGTTCCTCTTCTTAGCCTTATGTGGGTGTAGGACTGTATTTCAGCTGCCAACATATGTCTGGACAAAATCCACCTTGAATGTTACATTTTTTATTATTAATTGACAGTACTATCACGATAAAATAAATAGTTAAGGTACCAATGTGATATAGATCGACCTGCAATGGTACCATTTGCATTGTGCCCTCTTGAATTGGTTAATGAAAAAGCAACAAATCGTGTCCATGAATAAGACATAAATTAACAGAATTTTGATCAAAATTGGTTTTTTATTCTGAAATCGTGTAAAGCAGTTAAGAAAAACAAAGAGAGAAATCCAATAAAGTTTACCATGTGCCGACAAGGAAGTACAGTAGTGTCCCTGGGTTCAGATAGGCATATGACGCATTCCTTCCCATTATCACCTTCATCGCATTCCCCATCAGTTGAGTTTCCAATTCCATATATCTCTTGTAACTCATACCTCATGCCACTGACCCATAAGATTTGCTTAACCACCCTGGTGTGGTATTCACCTTTGTCCTTGTCAAACACAGCCTGGGTTATCTGGGCATTGGTGGGCCCAGAAGCTGAGCTTCCATCCGCTGATTCACCTTGATCATCTGGAAATGCCTCTGCCTTAATGGCCAAGGGATAGACATCCACTTCACCCTCCATTGACAGTTCTGCTTCGTCGAACATTGAGAGCTCAATACCTGTTCCAGAGGGTTGTCTAAACTTCTGAGATAATCCTTGTTGAAATTGAACTGTCACAGGCGGGAGCAGACTTTCCTTTACAGGGGTCAAGTGGCAGTCTTCGCCTTCTTTCGCAAAGAAAATGACAGTCATGCTGCATGTAAAAAAAACCAAACTCCTCAGTAAAATATTTGATTTTTGCAGGTATTAATAGGTGGTGTCAAGACTCAAGAGTCCAAATTTCTTGGCATTAACACTTGAAACTCTTCACACAAAAACAAAAGGTGGTCTTAACTACTACTGGGTACATTTTTTTATGTTTTAGAAATTTAGAGTAACTAGCAAAAAACATGAATATTATACTATGCTAATGAAACCCTTATTTAGTGGAGCAAAGCTAATGAAATTTATGATGCACATGCAATGATGTTTCATAGCATGTGGCCATGTGTAAAAACAGATAGAAAATAACATGTCTGAGAAAACTGAAAATGCCCAAACAATGCTCTAACTTGAACTGAACTATTTTAATACCTCAACTCCTCAATGTAACTTAATGATACCCAATTTGTTACAAATGATACATTTCATGCTACCAAATTGAACTCTTGACAAATAAAAGAACGGTCACGCTGATATGTAGGCTATGTTCGGCACGCCAGTTTGAAGCATATTTCCACTGTGGAGTACTATATAGGATTCTCGTAGCTCCAGAAACTTTTAGAAAGTAGTGTAGGGTTTCAACTACAATTCTTGTTTTTTATTCAAAAATGTCCCCAACTTTTTAAATAATACTTGTACGTTTTTCTCCATATATATTCTCCTAGTTGCTAAAAACCTCATCAGTAATTTTATATGTTACGTTTACATAAAAAAACAACTGCCCAACCCAACACCTGAAGTATAAAACTTCTCAGCAACTGTTCTACCAACAACCATAGACCGGCATTTTTGCACGTAATGATTTTTGACACGACTAACTTCCAATGAATGCCTTCCAAGCCCGTCAATAATCATTATGTGGCAAAACATCATACAACCGGTTGCTCCCCTTCAAACTGGCGTACAATCTTGAAATGTCATAATTTTCAGGAATTGGGGCCCGATATGATATAGATCCAAATGGTTATGGTACCATTTCGTCATTTTGTCTTAAGAAGATGTTTCATCATTTATAGAGCCTTCATTGCAGAGCATATGGATAGTTCAGCTAAGGGAAGACAAATACCACAATCAAGACCCTACAGGCCCCATTCATTTAGATTCCCCTTGATATAGTTACAGACAAAATACAGTTCAACACTTTCCAAGAAAATTTCAATTTCAAGTACCATGTTAACTATACAATTCATATCAGTCCTCATTGAAATAAAAAATGAAACAAAAAAAAAGCCCAGCATGCTATACTGTCACTAGATCCCAAAGTCATTCACCATTCATCCAAATGATCCAAGTCATAGGAATAAGCAATTGAAGAAAAAAACTATGTGTGATTTAAAATCGAGAGAAAAAAAAGGGATCTTATAAAGCTCTACTGACCTTCCTGAAACCGTGGCATCGAAAGTGAAAGTGACGAGGTATTGTCCGGGGTTCTCCTCGTCTGGCTCGATACGCAGCGTCTCCTTCTTGAGATTGACATCGTTTCGTATAGTCACGGCCTTCTGGTGCTCGACATAGGGCGTCGGCGGATGTACCATAGGCCCACAGGGGTACCGACCGCTGACCCAATTAGGGTCCATGCGGTGGTGGTGGTGGTGGTGGTCGTAGGGAGCCGGCAAAGGCATCGGCACGGACGGAGGCGGCGGTGGGTAGTACCCGGGGTACTGGTAATACGGCGGAGCGTTAGGGTATTGGGGAGGGTAAGGCGTCGCAGCCGCGAAGACGTACATATTGGGGCCGATCTCAGGCTGCGGCTGCTGCGGTGGGGGTGCGGAAGGGTAGGACCTCCGGCTACTGTTGCTTCTCCGTCGGGCGTTGGCACCGCTGCTTCCGGCGTTGCCCATCGGATTATATATCCCACCTTCTCCTCCTCCTCTAGACTAGAACCAAAAAAAGAACCGAAACAGATTCCAGGAAAAGTAAAACGGCAAAACCAAAGCAATTAATTCATTTGGGGAGAGGAGCAAAGAACAAAATCGTACGATGGAAAAAGCACAATCCGAAAAGCAGAAAATTTCATTTTGATTATCGGTGAGAGAAAAAAATAAAACGAGAATCTCACGACAAAGATGACGAGATTGCGTATACGTCCCACCTAAACCTCCATTAATCAATGTCATCTAAAAATCCTATTCCTCTTCTTTAATCTACTCCTATTTCATTTCTTCCTACTAGTATCTTAACCCGTGCGATTGCACCGACACAACAGAAGTTTTATGTGAATATACACATTGCCTAGAAACAAATGATTCTTAAAACTCTTGGCATATTTAATATTCGTAAGTTATTGAGTAACAAACGAGAAGGTATATGGTACATCCGGATGTACCTAGAGATAGGTACATTCGGGTAGTACTCATTCTGAAGTTAAGTGGTACTCATTCTCGCACAAACATAACAGTTCATTTGAAATATCGTGGTACTCATTCTTAAATAAAGCAACACTCATTCTAAAATAACGTAATACTCATTTTCACACATTTGTACAATATTCATTTACGAATAACGTAATACTCATTCTAAAACCTAATAGTACTCATTCTCAAAGAGTCTAGTACTCATTCTTAAATAACATATCATTCATAAAAATCTAAAATCTAGGACCAGATTGGAATTAGAACAGATTGAATTAGAGCGACAATATTTGTGTTAGACAAGGCGTGCAACTCTAGAGGGGGGTGAATAGAGTTGTTGAGAATGTTTACCGATTTTCGCAGGATTAAAAAATATAAACGTAAGTGCAGCGGAAATAAAATAGAGAAGGCGAAGAACACACCGATGTATACTGGTTCACCACCTCGTGGCTAGTCCAGTTCCCCGAGAGACTCTCTCGAAGCTACCACTACTTCCGTTAAGCTTACGGGTGCTTAACAAACCGATTACAACTAAAGAACTTGAATCCCACAAGCCTCGACACAACCGCTCGTAGATATGCCCTCTACAAGACTTCACAACCAAGACTTAAATCACATAAGCCTTGAACAATAAGAAGAACAATCTTCTTCAACCTCTCACAAATAGCTCTCAAAAGAGTAGATAAGAGAAAATATTAAAGCTCTAATGGATGACAAGAAACCTCTCTTAAAAACAAATATTTTCTCTCAAAATAATATAAATTTGAGGAAGGATTGATGTAGGATTAACACATTAAGAATGGGGAGTATTGGAGTGTTTCTTGTTTAGAAAAATGACCAAGGAAGGCTGCTTAAATAGGAGGTGAAGAAATATATCCGTTGGTCCAAGAAAAGAAGCTGTGCAGAAAAGATGCAGCATAATAATCGATTAATGCATCACCAATAATCGATTAATGCATCATCAGCAACGATCAATGCAGCTGAAGGAAAATCGATTAAATTAAAGGGATTAATCGATTAGAAGGCTCTGTATGAACTAATCGATTAAAACAAAGATACAAATCGATTAAACACAAGACCTAAGCAATCCAACGCAACAAGCAACTAATCGATTAAACAAGGAGGAAAAATCGATTAATTAAATGTGCTGAACAATAATCGATTAAACAAAGAAGTATAATCGATTAAAAGAAGAAATCATGCGCAAACACAAAGGGCCCAATCCAGTTGCGATGGAGAGCAGAATTGGCGTAACACTCGTTGTTTGAGACAACGGGAATCAGAGAACGCTCCTCCTCTCTTATTCAATGAATTTGAATAAGGGAGTAAAAGTGAGTCCAAAAATTATTCTGTGTGTCAAACGATGTACACGAAAAAAAATTTGAATAAAATATTTTTGCTTTCCAAAAATATTTTCTAATATCAGAAATAACTATTTTGATAAATGTTTGACACACGTTTTTGTAACTGACTCAATAAATGTATTTTGAACAGTTAAAAGGATTTTTCAACTGACACCAAAAAATAAATATAATTTTTATTTTAACACTCATAAAAATAATTTTGGAGAGAAGATATTTTTGCCATCCTTACAAAAATTCCTAAGACTCAAATAAATAAAAAATCTTCGGAAATCTTCTACTCCTCCAAGTCCTCCATTAGGCGCTCCGAACGCGTGTCGGACTCCAATAAAATCCTGTGCACCTTCTTGAATACTTCAAGGAATGGCACTTCAATTCTTCGTGTGTGTCGTTGTAGCACTTTGATCTTGACTTGAATAAATTGTGTTTGTCAATTATCAAAACCTGTGAGTCAACACTTAACAACACAGAAAGGCTTGAACTCATGCATTCCAATAATTTCCCCTTTTTGATAATGACAAACACATGGAGGATATGCTACCAACAAATAACAAATAAAAGCATGTACTCCTATACTCTTCCCCCTTTTGGCATTATAAAAAATAATGCAACAAAAGAACTCATGCATTCCGGGGAGAGAAAAAAAATTCTAAGCAATTAAGAAAAAATCACATTCCCCCTAAAATCATGCACTTCTAGGAAATAAAAAACTTCCCCCTTAAAGTATGCTATCTCTCCTAAAAAAACATACAAAAAAAAATTTAACACATATAGCAATAAATTCCCCTTTACTATATGCAAAACATCCTATGTATATTCCCCAAATAAATTCATATAAATTTTTTTAAAAAAATATAAAGAGTCCCCTTTGATGCAACCTCTTTGGCTAGTGCTTGGAGCATCCACTACAAATTTGTAGTCTTCAAGCATGCCTTTCAAGTGCGTCACGTGCCCGACCACCCATCTTGTTCTTCAAGAGCGATGAGGCAATCGTCTTTGGAAGGTTCATCATACTTCCACGAAAAATAAGCAAATTCATCTTGTTTGCTCATTTTCTTGAGCTTCGGGCACTCAAATTTTCGGTGGCCAAGCTTTCGCACTTATGACACCTTGGGGTTTTCTTCTTGCTCTTGTTTAGCTCATGTTTCAAATGTTAGAATAAGTGCCCTTCACTAGAGGGGGGGTGAATAGTGAGGCACGAGAATGTTTATAAATTTTCGCGGAATAAAAATTGTAGGGATAAAGTAAAAAACGTAAAAAGTAAAGAGCGTAAAAAAGCGTAAAGAGAGCACACAAAGATTTATACTGGTTCACCACAACGTGTAGCTAGTCCAGTCTCCCGAGAGACTCTCTCGAGCTACACTACTTCCGTTAAGCTTACGGGTGCTTAACAAACCGTTACAACCTGAGAACTCGAGTCCCACGAGCCTCAATACACTTGCTCGGAGATACCGCACTCCAAGACTTCAACTCGAAGGAATATGCCCTTCCTTCGTACAACCAAGGGAACAAACCTCCCTTAAAGTGTTCACAACACTTAACCACTCAAGAACAAAAACTCTCTTAAAGAGTAGAATATGAGTAAACTAATTTAGATCAAGAACACACTCAATTCCTCAAGAAATGGCTCTAAAAAGCTATGTAAAAAGTTTATGGAATGATGCGATGTAAAGATATGAAATGTGTGAGGAATGGATATGAAAAGTAGACCCAAGAGACCCCTTTTTATACCCAAAAACAAGGTGCAACGGTTGGGAAAAGATTGGGGTTGATTAGCTTGATTTGT